CTACTTCTTGGAATTCATCTTAGTCGGTTTTCAATTGACAAATTTTTTTTAATATATATTCGTAATAATGCTAGTACTTTGTTTTATTTGGGTTTAAATTGACAAATTTAAATATAAATGCCAATGTAGGGTTGCAGTAACTATAAGGATAACATGGTAATTTTACAAGTTTTAATATTTTAAAAACCAATGGTAACTTCATACATTTGAAACATTATTTTAATTAAAAAAAGGACAAATTGGTAATTTATTTCATAAAATTGAGGGCATACTAGTGATTTCATTTTAAGAGTGGGTATTTTGGTAATTGACTTGTTGATATGCAAAAAATAATAAAAAATTATAAAGTCAATATGTAAGGTATTTTTATCTTTGTCAAATATTAGAAAACACTAACAGAACTTACGAATGGTGAAATGTCGTTTTGAAACTTAATGGGTGGGAAGTGTCGTTTTTTGCTAACCTTGGGGGTGAAAAAGCCGTTCTCCCTTACACATAATGAATTTTAATGAATGTTCTAAATATTTTTATATAAAAAATTTTTAATCCACATATAATAAATGAAAAAAAAAATGTTGAAGTGTCATAAATATCAAATATACTTAAACCTACTTTTTTATGTTTCACTTGATTTAGATAATGTATCTAGTTTTGTATACTAAAAATATTGTTTTATCAAACATCTACAATATATATATATATATATATATATTTATTACCTGTCTAGAAAAGTTATTAAAAACCTTTTGAATTAAAATATTCTCTTTTAATATTGCCTTTGTTTAATTTTGTAGGAGTGATTTTTCTTCAATTCGTCGACCGAAAGGTATTTAAAAATGAAATTAAATTGAAAAAAAAAAGGCATAAATAGTAAAGTGATGTATAAGAGGTAATATTTTTCGCTTATACGCAACCATGCTGTTGTGATTTGTAATTGCCTCCAGTCAATTTGAAAAGGTCACACCTAAAATCTCCCAAACTTTGTAATAAATACTATTCAAATTAATGCCCTAGTTTTCTAATCAAAAACACATTAGATGGATAAGAACTTGAACAACATGCATGAATATCCACATATATGAAAGATTATTTGTATTTCATTTGATTCCTCCTCCAACTTAATTTACATATAAGGTCTCTATCATATGAACAGGAAAGAGTTGAAAGTTGAAATTTCCCCCCAAAAAAGTGAAGCATCTCATAAAAAGTTACTAAAAGGGAAATTAGAACAAAATTTTGTGTACAATCTATAAAGCAAGTAGATTGGATTCATTTTGATTCGATAACAATGTATCTTAGCTTGTTTATTCTAACTTAATAATATTGACAGAATCTACACACTTTAATTAAACGTGTTAAAAAGAAACATAGCTCAAACCAAGTCACCGATTTGATGTGTTTTAATTTAAATGGTTTATCATAAACACATGTTGACACAAGAATGAACAAAGGAAATTAAAAAGATGGGCATATTTGTGGATAAAGAAAAATTCTAATTCCTCTAAAAAATTAAAGTGATAAGAGGTCAACGGCCGATGACTCTAGTCCGATGTTATATGTTTTTAAACATGTATTAATCAAAGGTTAACGATTAATCTCTTACTCAACACAACAAATAAATCACATTGGTTTTGATCCCACGGTAAGATTTCAAATTTTTAAATTTGAGAATTTATATATCATTGATCTTGTAAAGTTAGATATTCTTGTCATGAACCTATTATTGTTTCATGTTTTTATTCAAGATTATTTCTCTAGTCCACATTACACTGAAAATAAATTATAATACCAACAAAGAAGAAAAAGGAAAAGACCGTCATAAAATTGGAGTTATATCAATTGAAGAATAATATAGTGCAATAATTAAATAAAGCAAAAAATATGACGTTTTAATTTTGACTATTGTGTTCCTTAGAGTTAATAGTTTTAGTGAATGTTATTATTTCTAGCAAGCGTCTTGGATATTTTAAAATGAGACATCAATTTTCGAGAGTAGTGTTTTGATGCGATCGATCACATCGAGAAGTGCATAAATCTCATGAGGAGGTTTACACAAGGGTTTGTAATAACCGGTAATTTAGTGCTGAATAAATACTAAATGATGATAAATACAAGAAACAAGATTATTTAAAGTAGTTCGGATGCAGGTGCAATCCACTATATCCATTGTTTTTATTTATTTATTAATTTTTGTGTATTTGGTAAGTACAAGCGCCTCAATTCTCATACAATAGACAGTTTTTTATAGAATAAAATAGTGTTTCCAATATCCCAGAAGGAATCCCTCCTAAGGGTATGAGACCCCTTTATATACTATTTTCTTGGTAGACTCACTGGTAAAGTAATCCTTCAACATGCACCTAGGGTGATCTTGCACATGAAAATCCCTCTTCAAGAGGTGACACGCATCCTGATTGACAGCACAAATGATGCTTACTAATGAGTATTCTTTATAAACTTACAAGTGAAGTAGTCTTCTAATGGAGTGGACACGTGGCCTAGTGACAATACATTCCTGAGACCCGTGACATGAATCTAGGCAGGTGGATTTACCGCACACACACCACTGAATGTATTGAAAGAGATTTTTTTATATGTTTTTAATATAGGAAATATAGAAAAATAAATTGCATTAGTGAATTAATCTAAGTATTATTATGTATATATAGCATATTTTATTTCATTATATGTTTTTATAATCAAAATATAAAGTTTTATATAGAAAATAAACCATATCAAAGTTTTTGATGTTCTTTATAATTTAGTACCCTCCACAGCCCGCATTTTAATATTTACTAGTCTAGTCGAGAAATTGTTTAATAATTCAGGACAATTTTGTATCAAATCTCATGGATTTGAAAACTTTTGTCCGACTGAACATAGTTCACTGTAACACAACAACTACAAAAATATTTAAATAGGTGAAAAAATTGATAAGATAATATAATTTTTCAAAGTGTAGGTAAACCCCAATGTATATTTAATTTGGCATCGAATAAAATATTAAACTACAATTAAACTTCGCAAATCAGGTGCTGTTTATTGATTGACAAAAATTATAGAGAAATAATCACAAGTCTTAACCTACAAATGCATAATTATCAATAATGCAACACATGTAAATCTCTTAGCATTTACTATTGTCACATATTAAAAATGTTTTTTAGATTACGTATCAAATTAAGTTGATATAGCCCAATCCTATAAAAATTAATTAGATAAACATAATACCATAATAATTAAGATAAAATACAACTATCTTAACTCAATTTATTATTTAAATTATAAAATAACATAAAAAAATCTAATTGTCTCAGCCTCCAATAGGACAACCGCTATTATGTTTCCACTCTGTGGAAGGTATTCCTACCTTATATCTATTATGTCAGTTTTGACCGTTATCTCTAAGACACATATCCATGAGCAAAATCCTTGTGTGGGGGAGTCTTCACCTTTCTGATGTGCCATCCACATCATTGTTGGTGTCAAGCCAAAGGTTGAACTAAATGCCCCTGTCAGTAACCACACTTGGGACTTGTTTCTTCGCCTCTCACACCAGAATCCTTTGGCTGTAAGTGGTATACAAATACATCACGTGTTGATGCTCCATTGAGTGGCACAAAGAAGCGCTTGTTACAAAAGACTTCACCCAACGAGAAGGTTCGATTACTAGGAAACTTTCTCCGCTATAGCCAAACAGTTTCTATTTGAAGCCTTCCCTCTATGTTGCTTCTTGTTAGAGTCATGAAAGTGACTCTATTTTGTTGATAAAAAAGATCCTATGTGTAATTGAATTGAAGTTATATTGAGACAATTAAGAGAAATTATGAATTTATGTTTAAAAATCATATTTGAGTTTTTCTTACTAATTTGACATGTTTGGATTGAAATTTGAGATTGAGTAAGTTGATATTAGGATGTGATTTATTTTCTAGGGTTGATGTTGTCTCATTTATGCCATTCAAGGGTCAAATTGTCATAATCTCGGGGTTGATTTTGTCACTTTCAAACGTGTAGGGACCACATGTAATTTGCCAAATTTTGTATAAAACTGCAGCTCATGGTCGCAGATTGGGTGGCTGGTCGCAGATTGGGTGGCTGCCGCCCACCAAAACCCTTCACCTTCTCCGATCAGATTCCAACGAGCTTTTTCGGTGACGGTTCGTCTTCCTCATGCACAGATCATCACCATCTCGTCATCACCACCCTGATAACGCTTCTCCACCGCAAATCACGCCAGATTTTCCGACGACGCTTCGCATTCCAGCCATGTTGGGCCATTTTTCGGCGATGTTTGGGCTCCCCAAGACTTGATCTTCCTTCCCCACAGCCGGATCTAGCACTTCCAAGCTTCAGCCGCCGCAAAACAGTTGAAATCTGCCATCTTGCCGCCGCGCCTCTTCGTCTTCCAGCCAAGATCTCGCTTATCTCCAGTGACCTTTCACCTCCCCATGACCTGATTTGAACTCTCCATCACCAGAGCTTTCCATCGGTATCTTCAGATCCCATTTCCACCACCATTTTCCGAAAGACCCACCGGAAAACTAATATTTTCTACCAGTGCAACTGTTCATATTCCAGGCTGTCCGTTGGTCGTTTTCACCCCTTCTTCGCATCATATCACTGTCGATTACCTCATCTCTGCCATGATCAACTTCGTTTCCACCGTTTCAGCCTCCGTCATCACTACCATGAGTGACTAAGTTCCCGGTTATCTGTTACGGCATAGGCAAAATCGAGATTGACTCCATTGATCTCCTCATCAACTCTCGACTAGTTGGATGAGCCCGAATGTTAGACATTTGGTTAAGTTTCTTGTATTCATATTATATTTGTTTTCGTTTCAGTTTGTTTGCGATGCTTTAATATTCTTCTGATGCTCGACGTGCTGAATTGATAATGTCCATTGAGAATGTTTATTGATATATAAATTTTTGCATAATTGAATGTCGGTTTGAGATTATTGAATGTTGATTATGACTTTAAATTGCTTCGGCACNCCTTGCTTAAGAGAAATTTCTCTTATGAAAGACTTGGAACATGAAAACTTGGTTAGGTAACTCTTATTGCAATTGGTTTGTTGTGATATTATAACATTAATATTGTTTTGATTTGAAAATATTTAATTTATATTATTATTTTAGAATCATAAATTAGGATGTCTCTTGTAACAATTTACTTGTGTGGTGCTATCTTTCTTATATTGAAAAACAGGTTTCGGGATGCTTTTTTATATAAAAAAGTGCATTTGGTGATGGACTCTTTGAATACCAGCCTGGGGGCCTTCTTGAATGCAACTTGAATGAGGCAGCTTGAGAATGTTTACCATATCTTACCACCAGAGACGCAAATACTGTTAGATATAACACATAAGAAGTTTAATCTTTTCATGAAAGTAAGTTGGTTACATTAGATTATTTCTATCATATATTAGATTTTGATTAATTTTTTAGCACATTTTAGTAGAAAAGGTGTACTAATTATTAACAATTTTTTTTGCAGAAGTTTTTGCTTTAAATTTTGGTACGTGTCTCATATTTACACTCTCATGATATCCTTCACCGAGATCTTAAACCCGACAATGTGCTGATAAATACCAAGGACGAAATTGTGAAGATTATTGATTTTAATTTAGCCAGAATGGGTGGTGCTCATTATGGAAGATATTCTTATGATGTATGTATTATTAAATTAGTATCACAATTCTTCATTAAATTAGAATTATTTTCAAATGTTTTGATAACCGAATCGGGCCTTGACCCTGTCAAGGGCCCAGTTCACGGGTTGGCCGATCGGATTTGTGACGTTAGCAATAAAATTATTTTTAAAAACTGCAATCTAGTCTCTGAAATATTAATTTATTACAAAAATACCTCTAAAATTTTGCAAATTAGTCACTGAATTTTTAATATATTGCAAAAAATGCCCAAAAAAATTAATCCCTGAAAGTTTGAAATCTAGCAGAAACGCCCTAGAAAATTACGAAGTAGCCCCTCCAAGTTTGAAATATAACGGAAACCCCTCTGGATCCTGAATTGGACCGGAGAGGCTGCCGGGTCCCAGTCTAACCGGCCGGCCCAGTCTGGGTTTCAGAACACTGATTATTTTCATGTTCCAAATTTACAATGTTCTTTGCAGGTTTCAACGGTGGCATATAGAGCTCCCGAAGCCCTATTAGGTTCAGGGCATACCAAAGCATCTGACATGTGGTCTGTTGGCTTTATAATGTTTTTTTTATATATAGTGTGTGTTAGTGTGATCACAGCTCGAGATTTTGAGTCAACCTTGCAGCAAGTTACATGCTTGTCAACCAAAGTTTTGGTGGTTTAAACTATCCACATTTCGATGCATGTGAATTAATCTCATCAGCTTGGTCCCCATTTAGATACAATTAATTAAATTAAATTAAGCTAAGTTAATTATAATGTAATTTCTAGTTAAGGTGGGGCTATCAAGAAGCTTTTCTTTTTTCTGGTTTTGTTTAACTAATAAACCAAATATATTTTAGGGTATGATTGAGATATTTTTGTATCTGTATGTAAAATGGATGGGTATTAAGGCTTTGAGTTTATAACTCATTTTAACTATTAAACATTGGATATTTTTCATGATTTTAAGAGGGTGTTTAATAGTTTTTGAAAATCGTTCGGATATTTTACATTCACTTTTAATCTAAATTTTGGTAGTTAATTGATAATTAGTTTGAGAAATCTAGAAATGGAGCCAAGTAAACAACATTGATCAAGCCCAATAAGAGGAAGAGCCTTTGCTTAACAAATGGGCTGATTTATTATTTATTAATATAAAAGGCACCAAAAATTAAGAGCAAAATTTGGTCTCAAAAGAATATATACTTAATAGAATTGATTTGAAAGTAGTTGTTTGGTGGGGTCAAGTTCACATGTGCATATCTTTTCAAGTTTTAATTTATGGGGATTTAAAATTTATAGATATTAGATCTAAAGACAATCCCAACTCTATGAATAAACCAATTGATTGAGCTTATAATGAGTGGACACTATTCCTTTTAAATTAACATCTTATAATTGGAATTAGAATTATGATCTCTTAATTTAAAGAAGAAAAAGATACAAAACTTAGCTCACTTGCTATGGATAACACAGCAAAACTTTTGACATTAAAGATTAGCTTCCCATATGTTGATTCATGCATGCACCTTCCTTGGGTCACAAGCCCTACCAAATTGTGATGGTCAACCTCCTCACCACAAATCATATATCTAGATTCTTGATTAAATTTTCTAGGCCTTTTAGTTTCAAATATTTTAAGTGGGGTGCGAATTTACACCTTATTCTGTCCAAGAAGAAAGAATCACCGACTAAAAAGAAGAAAGGAAAACATAGTGGTATGAATGAGGCGTGACAGGTAGAACAATTGACCTAAATCTCCTAAAAGCATTCGATTTAATAGTAAATGCAATTTAAGCTGTCATCATTGATCATATTAGATGAGAACTTTATTAATTTGAAACCGAAACTAAAATTTTAATATGATAACTAATCTAACATGTATGACATCAAATTTCTCTTGTGGGTGATTAATTTTTGTGTAAATTAGGTAGAGAGTGAGTGTGAACATTTTAAGTATTCTAGTGAGTGGGCAGGTGTTGGAATTTTGAAAAGGTAGAATGGGGGTTCCATCCAAGTAAACATGGTGTGGTGAGCATGGGGATAGGAATGGGCCGACAGCCTCATATCTTTTTGACTCCACCACCCCCTGAATTCTACTATGTACTTGTAGCACAAGAAAGCCACTTTGAACCACTCAATTCAACCTTATTAATCATAAGACTTTTCCTTTTCCCCCTCATAAGCATCACTCCTCCTTTGTCCCTAATAATGGCAACGTTTTCTTGTGTTCAATTATCAATTATAACCTTCACCTTTCATGTTTTATGTCCTACGGCATTTAGCAGCACATATAGTTTTTCAATCTCTTACTGATTTGAGATACGAATTATTTTGATGAGAACTCGATTTTCAATCTGGTTAACCAACATTTTCAATCTTAATTGATACAAGTTATAAATCCTTCCGATTTTTTTTTAAAACATCAAGTTAATCCTGGGAAACATGTCACGGCACATGAATACACAAAAATTGGCTTATAAAATAATAATGCTTGTCCTTATACTATGAATTTTTGTTTCCTCATCGTGTTTTTGTTTTGGTAGAGAAAATGGAACAAAGAATGAAAATGGGCAGATAAGAATTTGCATAAAGAGAGATTTGTTTTGTTCCCGAGAAAGAAAGAAAAGAAAATTGAATTTGAAGAGAAAAAGGAACAAAGAAGATAAGGGTTTTTGGGTTTGGGTTTCTGTAAAGTTATTCTCTATTTTACAGATTTGCACGTGTGTGGTGACCCTCATAAGCTTGCATGTGCATGTGCTTTGCACCTATCTATGATAGAAACTTTACATGCATACTATTGTGTACTCCTAATTTCTTTCTTTCATTGTGGGTCCTTTATACTTTTGTGGTCAGGTACACGTGGACCCCCCTCTTATAGAACCTTTCATGCTTTTATGGCTAGTTAAAAGCCTTTCAAACTTCAAAGTTCGATCTCTTTATATGCACCCATTGGGGGCATCCATCTATTTAATTGGGTCAAAAGTAAATATTTAAGTAAAAATACTGTTAAAAATAACCTAACAGTATTAGAGTAACGTTACCTTCAACGACCTAATAACATCTATAATCATGTTCTCGTACAATTTAAAAATTTTGGGTCTGATTAATGCATGTAGGGAAGTTTTGGGGTTGTGATTAGTGTATAATTAGATAAAATAAATCAGTGAATAAATTATTAACCTCCTAACACTCTTCGTGTAGTGGAACCAGATCCTTTTAAGGGTGTTGAATTTGATTGATGTTTATAAATCAATGCCTTTTCATTCTTTCTATATGCTCCCCTTTGAAACCCAATCAATTAATCATTGGCTCAAAGGGTTTAATTTGCTTAATTTGGTTCTAATTTGATTAATTAGATTCATTTATCCAACTATGTCACTCCTTAGTTTCTTTTCATGTTTAGACTTTTTTGATAATCTTAATTATCACAATCATCTAATATTTCACACAAAATTACAATTATATATGGGAGAATTACTTTTTCACCCCCAGTTTGGAGAAACGACACTTTCCCAACCGTTAAGTTTCAAACGACATTTTCCCACCTCCGTTAAGTCTTGTTAGTATTTCCATTTTGAAGAAGGTATATGGTTAAGAAATAAAAATTGAAATATAGGGTTTAGTCACTGAATGGTTGCCACTTGCAGGAGGTTGACTTTGAAAAAAAAAATACACCAAAAAGTGATTTGTGTCTATTGTAACTGTCTCTCTCTCTGCTCTCTGAAATTGAAACGACTGACCCGAGTTCTATTGTACACATATCGTCTCTTTAAAACTGAAGTGTTTTTCTCCCTCTCTTCCGTCGTATTCCTTTCTTCTGCTCATGGGTACGTATGGCTTCTTTTCCAAACTTAGTTGCTTCTATTTTGGTGTCTTCTTGGCTGAGATAGGTGATCAGGTAGTGGTTAGAATGCATGACAATTTCACGATAACAAAAAGCTGATTTGTGTTCTTCCTGTTTCGTGAAACTGAAGGGATTGGGGACTTAGGGTGGTGACTAGACGACGACGGACAAAAAAGGTTTGAAAGGGTGACGACGATTGGCTACACAACGAGTGAGAGAAAAATAACGACGACGATGACTGACCGAAAGGCATGGGTAATCATTTTTTTTTTTCTTAGTTTAAAAAAAATTGTTGTGTGTTTTTTTTTGGTTGTTCTTAGTGTTTAATTATAGAGCTTTTTAGAAGGAACAAAAAAGGTTACGTTCTAGAGTGGAGTCCTTTTTGGTGCAAATATGGATTCTTATAACGTCTATTAGTTTGTGGGCAATTGTTCAACTTCTATCCCAGTTGCTTACAATTTCAGATTTTGCATTGCCATTGTGTCCTTTGTGTTGATGAGAATCTTCACTTTGAAGGTCCTGTGAAATTTTTGATGCAACATTTAACCATTTAGTCTTTTGGATAGGAATTTGAAGTTGGGACCTCTAGTGTTCAAATTAATTATACATAAGTTTATTGATAGATAATGGGAAAGACGCATCTGCATTATGTGAAAAAAGACACTGCATTTGTGGAATATTTTATCAGTATCTAATCGATCTTAAGAGTCATAGAATTGTTTCAACAATTAAGAATGTGGAGTTTGCAGAGACCACATAAGAAGCTATGTGTTGATATATATTATTTTCTTGGATAACAATGTTCTTGGTTATTTAATTATTATGAAATTGAAACATTTAGTTTGTAGTACCATTGTTAAAATTGAGATCGTCTTTGCTTGTAGAGGTTTATTTTACTTGTCTTTCAACTCCTTTAGCATTTTTAATCAATCTGGTATCGATGTTGTAGCATTTTATTTTTGTTGTATATCTTGTTTGGTTAATGAATTGTCTTGACTTAAAAGATGTGGTCTTTTTGTCAAAAAGGAAAAAAAAAAAGTGTTTTGGGGGTCCCACATAATCTCTTGGTAATCCCCTGTTGTAAATCAAATTCTTTGTAGAGTTAACTCTTATTATATCTAATAACACCAAGAGAGAGTTTTATTCAATTAAAGTGTTTATATTTATATAATCAGCCAAATGCGTAGTCAAACAATTAACTTTTGGTCTACAAGTAATAATGGCTCATGTCACATATTAGTTCTCATGCTCACCTCATAAAGGCAAAATCAATCATGTATAAGCAAAAGGTATTTCCTAATTGTGTCTGTTGGTGGGTTTTGATTCTTTGTTTAAAAATTTATAAAATTTTCACTGTAAATTTATTTGTGAAGTTGGCTGGAATATGTTTATAATTGTTTGGTGCACTATAGGATGTTATCTAATCATTGTATATTTGTGCTTTGTAGGACGAAGCCAAAAAAGTTCATTTTAAGTTTAAATTATTTGGAATTGATTGCCAAATTCGAAATGTAGACCCTGATGAATTTAGTTATATTGTGTTGATTAAGGACATGAAGATATGTGTTCTGAAAAAATGCGGAAGTATTACTTTACCTGACGAGAGTTTAGAGTAGAAGCTAGGTTACTTGATTTTGGGAGAAATATTTATTACTACTGATGAAGATGTGCATTTCTTTTGCAGCAGTCTGGGTTGAAAGGGTAGTAGACATTAAGTTTGATTGTTGAGGTTTTACCTGTATAGA